TAATCTGTCATTGCATGAGGATGTTCGAGGTTCGCCTCATCAGTTCTCGCCAAGCCTAAGTGTGTGTATGTATGTATGTATGTATGTATGTACGTACGTAGGTAGGTAGGTAGGTAGGTAGGTAAGTAGGTAGGTAGGTAGGTAGGTATGTATGTATGTATACCTGAAAGACATGTCAGATATGCTGCCCAGAGCCTGTCCAGAGTATAATTAGGTGTGGTATGGATGTGTTGTCATGATGCAGTGCATTCCCTTTTTTGTGATACTGGTGCTGGCCAGCTGGCAACATGCCATGGTAGCACATCTCAGGTGATGTCTTCCTGGGTGGAGCTGGCATCGGAGCTGCTCAACAATGGGCAGAGTGGCTTGCTGCAAAAATTTAGCCTCGAGTCAGTAACGAGGAAGTTTTGGTGGCCATACTCCCGACACAACCTTGATGTCAATTGTGTTGCTTTCTTGACTGCCTCCCTGTGCATTGCAGCCGAATGTGTGTTCAAGGCATGACCTCTTCTACCAACAGCAGCCTGGCTGCCTCCGCATGTCGCTTTGTGCATGACTGTTGCAGAATCCGCCGGATTGTCAGGTAACCTGCGCATCCTCAGGCTCTTGCGTGTGGGCAAGCTGGTGCGCGTGCTTTGCCTTTCAAGGGCCTCTTTTCGGCCTCGGCCGGGGTGTGGGTATGACTTCTTCTTTGGAGCATCTTGCCTTAAAGACCAGCTTGCAACTTGCAAGGTCGTACGTGTGTTCCGCGTGGTCAAGTTCTTTCGGAGTCTGCGGACTCTGGTGCAATCATTGATGGGGACGATGAAATCACTGTTCTGGGCCATGATTCTACTGGCGCTTATTATCTATATCTTTTCTATTCTGTTTACAGATGCCGTCATCGACTACGTGCGCGAGTCGGGTGTCGTGGAGCTGAACGACACAGTCTTGGAGCAATCTTTCGGAACACTCTATGAGTCGTACTTGACGCTTTTCCGATCGATTTCAAACGGAGTCACATGGGGTGAGCCAGCAAGTGCCCTGTCGCGAATTCCCGAAGGACGGCTTGTGTGGCATGGAGTTCACGGTTCATGCAGCGATGCACCCGAAAACCCATCAGTGATTCCGAGTGCATGAAGGGCAAGAGCTACAGCCATGCTACAGCCGTGAGTGCTAAAAGGACCAGAGCCTTGTTGATGCAAGGATGCCGCCCATGGGGAGTGATCTGGTTTCCTGTTGGCGGTGCTTCGTCGTCCTGGGTAGTCATATGGCCCCTCACTCATTCATTCTTTTCATGTTGCATGCAGACCGTGGAGAAAGGCATGTGCATAGATCTAATCGCCTCACAACGACAACCTCTAGTTGTAACTGTGCCTTGAAGCTAGAACAACCTCTTTATCTGTAAGCATTCAGAACCTCGTCGTCAGGCAGCACCACGAGCTTCGGCTTAGTCAGATGAACTTTCGAACCCCTGCTGTTGACCATGAGAAATCAGAAAGTCAAGGGCAGGCTTTGTGTCGACGATAATTCCAGTCCAACTGTCATCCGATTCGAGTCGCTGTTTTGAGATGCAACCTGCGACAAGCTAGATTGTTCGCACGTGTTCGCACCTCTTGTAATTATCCACGTGGGCAGCTGAGGAGTCTAGGAATGGAGCACTTGCAGCAAGCTGAACGAGTGCGGTGTGCATTGCAGGAACGATCTGGGTGCAGCTCTTCCACTTCTACATTGCCTTCTGCAGTTTCTTTTCGTTTAAGAGCGGCTTCTGCATGTATGATTCTCATTGCTTTGCATACTGATCTTGGACGTCAGCGATGATTCGCTTGCAACAGAGGCTTCGCCGTCCTCAATGTAATTTGGCCGCACGGGATATGGTCATGATTTCGTAGAAGTTTCGCGGCATGATCGATTCGAGTCCGTGTGAGAGAGAGAGAGAGAGAGCAGTTCGGCGTCTCAGCTACCCGCTGATGTACAGATATTTCGTGAAAGATGGTCGCTTCGAAGGGTGCGCAGTTCCCCAATGTACTACGAAAGTCCGTGACCTCTCAAAAGTAAGTGGTCGGCATCTTCAACTTCCAAGTCCCGAAACAAGCCATGCGCTTCCGTGTGAGTGGTTGTGCTTCGTAACAGCAGTCCTTGTCGCTGCGAGCCGATGTGAAGCCTTCCTGTAGCATGTGCCGTACTATCGTCCTTCAAACAGGTGACATTGCTCGTGCATGGCAGTGATGTTCCGTTGTGTGGGGCAAAGTGGGTGGTTCTGCCGTTCCTGTTGCGCCGTTCGCTTGGGGGCTGGTGGCACAGGTGTCACAGGAACAAAGAAAAGTAGCTAGGTAGATCGTAAAGTGTTGTCTCAAGCTCTGTTCGTTAGGCAGCGCTTCCGCACTCATGTCAGATGGTTTCCCTCCTTTTGGAACGAGGGTTTATGAGGTGTCCTGTCCATTTGGGGGCACCGGAACAAAGTTAGTTAGTTAGTTCGATGATGACGCGCGAGGTCATGACTGGTGTTTTCTGCAATAGCGCTATCAAAGCGGCCGAACGTGACCATGAAATGTTAGCATCTTGGCTGCATCTGACGGTCACAGTGCAGATGTGACTTCCAGAGCACGTGCTTACTGCACGTTGTGAGAGAGAGAGAGAGAGAGAGAGCGAGAGCAGTGTACGGGGGGCCCTATGGGCCGGGGAGCTTCGCACGCTCCCTTAACCTGAAGGAAGAAGAAGAGAGAGAGCAGTGTGTAGAAACAGGTCTGACCCGGGACGGCATTTTCACTTCAGGTGTACAGTTTCGAGTCGACCATGGTCCATTTGCGCTTGTGCTGCACCGAAGAAGGTGATGTCATTGGTGCAGAGCCGGCGCGAGCTGAAGGGCCAAGTTGCAAATCTGTTTCAAAGGATCGACGAGCGAGGATTGGGCCAGGCTTGTCGCGGAGAGAACATGCCTCAGCGGTAGGCTTAGCATTGGCGAATGGCGGCCATGTCATATTGCAGGTGACAATCGAAGACTTTGAAAAGCATTTTGACGATGATGCTGTTATCGCTTTCTTTGAGTCACTGGAAGTTGGTGCCATGGATGCCTGGACGTTGTTCATGAGCCACTTGGCAGCCTTTGCTCGAAACGGAGTGTTGCGGACCGACACACACACACATGTGGATGGCCTTAGCTGCAGCATCAACCCCCGGACGATGCACCGAAGACTGGTCAAGCACGGTGCCGATTTCTGGGTTTGTTTCGAGGTCCAGTGAACAGTTATAAACAGATCATCATCGCACAGCATGATGTCGTTTTGTGTGAGTAGTTATCTCTCTTCAGCATCAGGTTTGGACGTGGATGGTGACCACACCATCAGTGTTGAGGACAGTCGTGACTGCCTTGTAGCCCCGACGACTCCACATGTGCAATTGCAATCTGGAGGCTTAGGCGGTCAAGCAGCGAAAGGCATCCTCGCTCATTCAATCACTCACTGACTCACTGACTCACTGACTCACTCGCTCACTCACGCACGCACGCACGCGCGCACTCACGCACGCACGCACGCACGCACGCACGCACGCACGCACGCACGCACGCACTCACTCACTTTCTCACTCTCTTCTCTCTTCTCTCTTCTCTCCTCTCTCTTCTCTCTTCTCTCTTCTCTTCTCTCTCTTTCGCTCTCTCGCTCTTTCTCTCTCTGTCTCTCTTTCTCTCTCGCTCTCTCTCTCTCTCTCTCGCTCGCTCTCGCTCTCTCTCCTCTCCCTCTCCTCCCTCTCACGCTCTCTCTCTCTCTCTTTCTCTTCATTCGCAGTCACGCAGGCACTCGTTCTCCCGCCCACCCTCATTCTCGAGCTTCACCAACATGTTTCAGCACAACTTCATTCGGCATTTCCATTTTCACTTACACTCTCACTGCCTCACTCCCGTTCACTTGCTCACTGTCTCAGCTTAATCGCTTTATCCACCCATTCACGCAACTCAGCTCATGCTTTCGCTCTCGTATTCGCTTGCTTTACTCGCTGAATTGGCACCACTACCCGTCACCTTCCGCTATCAGTAGGCTACTCTTTAATCGAGCTGCAGATGTTGGTCGCCTGCTCATTTGCTCGAGCCATCTCCTGCGCTCATTATGCCATTTCGTCATCCAAACTTTGCATTCCTTTATCAAGTTCTTGACTCGAAGAGCGGGCTCAATTCCACATTCACTTATTGACTGCCTTGCCCCTCTCTGCCCATTTCACGCTCACTACGCACAAGTGTTCATTTCTTGCGCAGCTGGTTGCAGGAGTTCACAGAGCGCTGCCTGAAGCTTCACGGCCCAGCTCGCTCAGCAGATCTTTATGCGCTGCGGCACCTTTCGGTGTCCCGGCCATTTGCAAGTCTGGCGAGTACGTTTTGGCATGCGGCAGCGGAATGCTTCTAGATCCGCGTCTGCGAGGGTGCTATTGTGGATTGCAAAGCCTGACGCTTAGCTTGAGAAAGGACAAGCACTCCACGCAGTTGGATCACATTGAAGACTTTCAGAAGCGTACCTCGGCAATGTTGCTGCAGGGTTTCATCATGTGACATACTTGTTGATTGTGCAGGGCCATTTTCGGTTCACGACGGGTTGATGCTCATGTGATTTTATCTCGGTTGCTGAGAATGGCATTCGCGACAGGTTGCAACAAACGGCTGGACCAGCTGTCCAGAGCGATGTCTGTGCACGCGAAGGAGGTCGACGACGAAGAAGATACGGAGGTGCTGCAGTGGAATGCCAGTCATTTGTCTGTGTCATGTTCTGTCCACGGTCAGGGACGTGCCGATTCGAGAGTTTATTGAGGTTGTAGGTCTAGGTTACCCTTCCCGGACCTTGTTGGTTTGATGTGGCACGCTACACCGGACGTGGTATGATGTGACGTGATCGCTCCCTAATTGAACGCATCCAAGAATGATGCTCTACGAGATGGAGGGCTTGAGAACTCAATGAACTTTTTGGCATTTCATGAAGATTATTTTGCAGACCATTTCCCGCCCATGGCCCGATGTTTCACAAACACATTCACTGTAAAGGGGGGGTATTATTTCAGAGGCTTCCGTCATCCTTATCGGGGAGGAGTCGGGAACGGAACAGTTCAAGAAGAGATCCTCGTGACCTTACTTTGCTCTTGGCCCAGGTCCTGAAGAACTGGCTATAGCACTGACCTTCAAGGCTGTGCGGTTCATTTCTTCGGTCTGTTTCACCGGCCTGCCGCAATTGACTGCACGCACATGTTGCAATCGGAAATAAGCTGCCCAGTGTGCAAGGCTGCGTTGCCGATGCTTCCTTGTTGGGTGCAGACAGCGGCTGTTCAGATATGCTGCACACGCAGCATGTGTCTTCACCTTTACCCTCAATGAGGGTCTCGTGACGTACCTTCTCGGACAGACGTCCATAACAGAAGTTGAAAACATGTGGGGGCAGTTCTTCGTGATAGGCTCAGCGCTGGAGACCATGCAGGACATACATTCCTCTTGCTTGATTGGGCTGGCATCTTGGGAGAAGCTGCACGGACACATTATATGCATGTGCATGTGTGCCTTTTCATGCATGCTTCCATGATCCAGTGCGGGTATCGTTTTCCATATTGTATTGGGCGAACGTGCATCCATGCTGAGGGCCTGTACTCGCAGATCGGTTTATGACGCAGTTGATGTGTCCACATGTATGTGCAGCTGGTCAAGGCGAGACCGCATCGACTGCCGCTCCAGCCAGGCCAATGGAGCCAAGGGGAATGAATTTTCAGGGCTTCTATGCAAGACAGGTACTCAGATGTTGTGCACCAGCCGAACGGGAATTGGGGTTGTGCATCTTTGCAGGTCGTCTCGTGAGGTGGTGTGCCCCGTTCTCAGGATTGATTGAAATCAGTGAAAAGCGGGGTTTGGCGACATCGCACGATTTCCTGCAGTTCACTTTGAGTTTGACAGGTGCCTGATTTTGATGCCCAGAGACATACTGTTTAGGGGGTTTTGGAGGAAAAGGGGCCTCTCCAGCCATGGAGCCGCCCGCGGACAAAGCAGAGAGAGAGGAAGTGGTCGTAGCAGAGGTTCTGCAAGCCCACCGCAAGGAGATGGCAGCTTTGCTGAACGACTGGATGTCCAAACTGGAGTACACCTTGGTGATGTCGAACTTGCCGTCGGGTGCCAGGTCCCCGATCCCACGCCTGTTATCTAAATCCACTCGGTTTGGGGCTAAGCCATCGAAATCTTCGACCAGAGGACCTAGGTTTGAGGACGAGACCTTCCCCGACGATCAGCACTCTGCAGTGGACTCGGACCTAAGGGCCCCGACTCTCACTGAGCAGGACCAGTTCAAAGCATCACCGGCCAGTGCATCGGACACCTCCGAGGAAGACGTAGTAGAGGGACATGGGATCCGAGCACCTAGACGCCTGGATAGCACGCTAAGCTATGAAGAGGCCAAGATGACTGATGTTGAAATTGCGCGGGCATGGAACATCGGAGCATCAGCAGGGCTCGCCAAGGCCAGCAGCATCCCTCTGGGTTGGTGGCACCCATTCCGGGAACGAGTGGAATCTGTTATGAGCTCCCAGTGGTCGACTGCTTTTTGGACGTTGGCCATAGTCACGAACTCACTCTACCTTGGCATTCATCTTCAGTGGAGTTCAGAAAACAGAGAGTTCAGGTCTCATAGATATTTTGATACAGTGCACCTGGGATATGCCATCTTGTTCACATTGGAGATGCTACTGCGTGTCATCGCCGTTGGATGCTGGTCATACATAGTGGGGAAGGACTGGAAATGGAACTGGCTGGACTTGTTTGTTGTGGTGTCTTCCTGGTTTGAGATCGTAGCAGACAGGCTCACCTCTGAAGGCGCTGATGACATGCTGGGGGCAAACACGAACTTGCGCATCATTAGGGTGCTTCGCCTGGGTCGTCTTGTGCGGGTGGTGCGCATCGTCCGAGTGGTACGGCTCTTCCGCGCTTTGCGCACCTTAGTGGCTTCCCTCATGGGAACCTTGAAATCACTCTTCTGGTCTTTTCTGCTTTTGTTCCTGGTGATATACATATTTGCCATACTCTTTACAGATGTGGCGTTGGACTATGCCATCGAGAACAACTCGTCGGATGAGGACTTAATGCAGGTGTCCGATTTGCAGAGCACACGGTAGGAATCATAGTCCGCCCGGTAAGTTTCCCCACAAGTTCAAGTGCTGACGTTCTGGGGAAAGCCTGAAGGTACACTTTGGCAACCTGTACATCTCGATGAACACGCTGCCTGTAGAACATGGGTGTGATTTGAAGGTAAAGTGCTCTGCTTGTAGCTGCGAGGCTGCCGCAAACAACATCCTTCAAAGTAGGCCTTGCCGTGTGACACATATCTGCACTGTGCCGAGGCTCTTTCGTGCGATTTCCAACGGTATCGGTTGGGCACAGGCCGCAGATGCCTTCGCTCCGGCAGGCCTGGCATGCCTGGGCCTGTGCGGGCTCTGGACTTCCCCACCAGCATGGGCCCGGTTTGTAAGTTGGATCAGCGACTTGAGCCTAAAACATGCTATCGTATACGCAAGCTATCCCACCAGAGCAGCCTTGAGTGGGAGGTGCGTTCTGGGTCCAGTGCTTCCAGTTGTACGTGGCCTTCTGCCTGCTGGCATTGCTCAATGCTACTTGGTCAAGTCATGCCAAGTCCTAGTCGGCCTGCCATGGCCGAATACGACGAAGGTTGCACGCGTGTGCGCGCGCGGGACTCATGCGGTGCTTCACTTGTGATCGCATAGGCTTAGAGGTACCGGTACCATTGCCCGAATCAGAGATAGAACGAGAACACGCAATTCGGGGATGAGAGCAATCGAAAGTGACAGTTCTGCATGCAGCTTGCTACATGTTTTGTAGTCGTGATCGACAGCATGGCCACACGCACACAAGGATGACATGCACAGAGCGAGAAGTGTAGCAAGATGAAACGAGTAAAGCAGTTCAAGGTGGAGGAGAGAGCACGGCTCATGATCGCCGCATTCTTGAGCATCTTGATGCTGCTCGCAATGATGTGCTTGACATTCTATGGCGAGCGCGAACCTGTTATGGTGATTGCAATCCTGGTTTCCTTCATCACGAGCGAGTCTTCCTGTCAGGTGAGAAAGAATTTACATGTAATCTTCGTTGATTGCTCGCGTGTGACAGTGAAGTTTCCTCCCTACGCTTCCCGTCGTACTGTATTAGGGTTGGGTTCAGGCCTTTTTTCCCCTAGTAGTTCAGTCAAAAGGAGTTTGATCCCTGCTTCAAAGCTTGTCAACTTCGGTTAGTTCGTCAGTTCGCGCGAGGTAGCACTAGTAGCCGGGCGGGTTGCGGCGATGTCTGTCATTACCTTTTCGTTGACGGCTGGCCTCTTGCTTCCCGGCGTGCTCGTGTTGCTTCATGCAGTTGGGCAGCAGGTTCGGCTTGTTGAAATGCCATGGCAAGCAGCAATACTTCCATTCTGACGTTCATGGCCGGTCTCGCCTCGCCAGTCTTGGTGTTCTGCCCGAGAAAATCATTGACGTGGAAAGGTGACGAAAGGTGCTGCCAGAAGCTTCATTCCGATGAAGAGAAGCACATCGCTGGGGACGTCATGCACATGCATGCCAAGCGTTGCGCTGGTTTGCCGTATGTTGCCATGACGCGTGCGTTTCGTGTCCGCTTGCGCTGTTCCCGAGGCCAAGCATTGCTGGGCCCTTTCAAGAGTCCGAACAAGCAATCTTTTGCCAAACTCGACAGTGCCCTTTCGACCAGATAGCAATTGAGAAGGTTTTCCGCCGGGGCTCTTGTGCCGAAAGGATTGCTGATGCGGCTTCTTTGTTGGGTTCTGACAGGCTCTTGGCGCTCGTTGCAAGTGTGTGGAGTTTCTCCCACAATCTCAACTGGAGAGTGGAGGGTCTGTGGAGAGCTCCCCACTCTGCTTTGCACGTGCGCGTTTCTCTTGACCCTTCGTTGCCCGACTTTCCTACTGATGTCAAGAAACTTTAGGGTGAGTTGCGTGAAAGTTGGTGGCACCCTCCGTGAGCAATGACGTCATGCCCAGTCACGGATGGGCAGCATGAGGCTCGTGAGATCCACAGGCTGTGGGTGGGTGGCTACGACCCAGAGCGCATCAAGACGTATGGCGCAATTCATGCTGTCTTAGTGATGCTGAGACGGTGCCGGGTTGGCTGCATGCTGCTTGGTGCTGCACCTTCTTCAGTATCGGACGTCTGCCAGAGTTACAGGACATCTGGCCGCAGCGATTGGGATGGCCACTCCGTGGTAAGCCTCAAGCAGATTCGCGAGCAAGGCTCAAGCACCTGGCTGCGGCTGGGGCGGGTCTTCGCAAAAAGTTCGGTTTGGCTTCAAGCCATTGGCGACGTGGATGGCGTGTGCCATCTGATGCTGTGGACCGCTAGCTTCTTGCGCTGAGTCTGGCGTGGGCCTGCTTTGGTTTATGGGCTTGCAGGGTTACGGCTTGTAGTGGCAGTGATTTTTCAGGGCCCTCTAAGGTCACATCGTCCACTGTCTTCTCGGGCAGCATGTCGATGCAAAGCACAACAATAAACAGAGTGGAGTCAAAGTGCTCGTCAGGATGCTGTGGCATGCGCTAATGCTCCGTACACGTCTGCCCGCTGTAGACGAGCTTAGTGACTCGGTTCTTGGGCCAGGATGTGATGAGTGGTTCGATCGTCCGTCCGGTGCGGTTCTGGATGCCAGTGAGTGTCGTCGCCCTGCTAGCACGTAGCGCGCGTAAAGCCGGAAGCCAACTTTGATTGCCCATCTTGCAAGAATCACCCCGGCAAGTTTCAGCAGATTGCTTGGGAGTGTACTGCCCGTAATCGGTTTTACGGTTTCGGGGTTTAGGGTTCATGTTGTAAGACATTGTAGGGTTTTCCTTAACTCGGTTGCTAAGCCATGCTAAGCCTCTTGACCCGATTGCCTGCTACCTGGGTTGGCCTAAAGGACAGTGTCCGGCTTACTACCACTGCATGCTTCAGCATCTTGATGCTGTGCGATTATGTTCTCAACATACGGTGGAACACAGCGCTCACGTATGTTCCTTGATTTTTGGACGTTGCACAACAAACCTGTAGTCATGCCCCATGGCATAAACTTCCACACGAAAAATGCTTCTTTCCCTGGCGTGACTGAAAAGGGCTCTTCCCTGTCATTCTTGCCTTTTGGGGCGTTGTGTTTTCGGCCCTTTTTCTCTTTCGTTACCGTGCCAAAAGGACTTGGACCCCTGTCTCAGAGATGGGGGTCGTTTAGGGATTTGTGTTCCGTCTTTCTTGCCGTACATGTATGTCATGATTGTATGTCTGCAGGGATTCTTAAGACAATGTACGAGGTCGTGAGTAGTGAGTGTGTGGTTGATTAAATGAGTAGTCAAGTGCTGCCACAGGCTTTCCCGCTTCGGGCTTCACTGTTTCTCTCATGTTAAATGGTCGCCTTCTATGAGGGGTTCATAATGGTGTCCTGTTCATCAGGGGGCGGTACCTGAACAAAGTTAGATGCTGACGCGCGAGGTCGGGCAGCGCTTCTTGCCCCTCCTTTTGAAACGAGGGTTTTTGAGGTGTCCTGTCCATTTGGGGGCTGCTGGCACCGGAACTGAACAAAGTTAGTTAGTCTCGCGAGGTCATGACTGGCGTTTTCTGCAACAGCGCTATCAAAGCCGCAGAGAGCGACCACGATTTGGCGGTGCAGTCGCTGGTGCAGACGCGGAAGGAAATGGCAGATCAGGTCGAAAAGCTCTTCCGTACCATCGACGAGCGTGGCAGTGGTCAGGTGACCATCTCGGAGTTCGAGCGCAATTTTGACAAGGATGCCGTCAAGGTGCCGATACAATATTTCAGCATGTAAGTTCTGAATGTTTGAGCAAACAAGGACAATGCCGCATGATGTTGTAGGCCCTAGGGGCAGATTGGGTCTGTTTGGGTGATCATGCGAGGGCTGGGGACCTCGTCCTTGCATCCGGTAAGGCCTTCTTTGAAGTCCTCAAGATCGGCGCCGTGGATGCTTGGACCCTGTTCTCCAGCTTAGACAAGGCGGGTCACTGTTTACTTGCGCTTTTGTGGACTTCATTAGACTGAAGACGCAATTTACCACAATGTCACCGTCAGGGGCCCTCCACGTCACAAGGTTTTGTGCGGTGTTCGGAAGCTGCAGACAGGATGGGGATCACACCGTCAACGTCGAAGAATTCACAGAGCGCTGCCTCTCGGCTGAATGCAATTAAACCTGATTATTCGGTCTAGCTTCAGGCTGAGGTGTCCTGCAGAGAGCGTCGCTAAGTGCCAGCTCGTCATAATTTTCCATAATCCGGTAATGAAAACCTCACCGAGAGCACTCACATTAGGAGCCACTGTCGAGACGAGGTGTTGGAGATTCCGCTGTCGCTGTGTTGTCTTGATTCAGGCACCGAGGCACAACTCTCGACAAGAACCATATTGCATGCGAGGGCGCCAAGTCGGCCCCCAACCGTCGGTGGTGGCACCCGAGCACTAGGTTCCAAGAGCCTGTTGTGGAAGCCAGTACACTAGATGTCCGCTCGGCGGACTAAGGCTTACAGCTGCATGGGCCCGCAAGAGCTGCAGACCTCTTCGCCATGAAGCAGCAAACAGTTCCGAGGAAGCAGACAGGGAGGGGGCATATGGGGCAGAGGCCAGGGAGTGTGCGATTCGGGTGCGACAGGTTGGGCACTTTTCAGGAGCTGCCGGGCGCTGGCAAAGATACTGTAGAGGAACGAAGCCCATATCTTGCTGCCACGAAGGCAAAGCTGGCGAGGCAGCTGCGCGATATAGCAGACCTCCAAAGCCGCCTTTCTTTCCAGATGGCCAGGCATCTTGGTGGGCCGGAGATTTCGCTTTGAGGGCGGGAGGGCTGGAGTGGCATTTTCAGGCTTTATGCTAGTTCGTTCGAAGTTGGAAATCTTCAGATTCGGTGCGGGAGCTGTGCAGTGATGCAACGTCGTCCAGGCTTTTTCTGCCTGCTCCGCACAGAAGCTGAATCGTACTCCTGCTCCGAGGTTAACCTATCAACAGGTGTTGCCTCCTGAGGAGGCACGCTATTCCCCCACCGCTGATACCCCCACCGCTGAGACGGTAACATTCAAATTCTGAAATTCGATGCCCATGCCGCCTATTGCAAAGCTTGGGCCCATTAATTTTCCGGTATCAACAGGCTGTGCTAGCAGCAGCATCGCACGCCCGAAGAGGCGGCGATGTGGCTCACAGCCGAATATTTTTCACAGCAGGTTTCACCTGCCGGGGCGACAAGACAAGAGACATACACCTGCCCGTTCTAACAGGGCAGCAGTCCTGTGAGTTCAAGTAACCAGAGCTTTCACTTCTTGCTGGGCCCGGCTGCTCGACGGAGAGCTCTTGCAAGCATCGTTTTTCAGGAGGTCGAGAGAGAGAGAGAGAGAGAGAGACAAAATCGCTCAGTCCACATTTGCACAAGAAGTCGTCGATCTCTGCTAAGGGTGTGGGTCCTCGAACTCAAGACGATGCCAGTAGACTGCAGAGTGAGGCCTGGACTCCGGGCATTTCGCTGCCAAGCAGCAAGTGACATCTCATGCAGACCTGTGCCAAGAGCAGGTGCTTGGAAAATCCGAGATACCTCCGCAACTGATTGCTGTCTACATGCTCAGTCGCGTGCCCACCGCGATCTCAGGATCGGAAGCGCAAACCGACCACCGAGGCTTGTTCATGGACACCGCAGGAGGGCATGCAATTTGGAGAAGTCGTCAGCTGTCCGGGCTAAGATTGAAGGAGGGCATCTTTTGTCATAGTCCATGGTGTTGCGTAGTTTAGTTGAGGCCTTTGCAAGGCACATGTGATCATGTGGCACAAGCAAAAGCACGTGCCTGCCTCGCAGTTACCGGGCTCATGCACCAAGAAATAGGCAGCAACAGTGGGAGAAGCATCAGCATCCTCTGTCTGCGACAGTCTGCAACATGAATACTCTCTCTGAAACATATGGCCAGGACTAGCAGGGACGTGATCGGAGCTTTCGGCTGTAGTTTGGGCAGCCATGGAGCCAGATCCTAGTCCTCAGCTGCTGGAAGTCCTACGCTCGCACCAGGAAGAGATCACCGTATTGCTGGACACATGGATGTCAAGGCTCAGCGCGCAGCTCGCAGGCTGCTGGGTGCCGGAGTCAACGATGTCTGTGGGGAGATCTGGAAGTCCGAGACGTGAGCTTGAGCCGCTGCCTTTAGACCCGTTAGACCCTTTAGACGCCTGCGACTCTGCAGAATCAGCCGGATCCGACTGTGAGCCTCCAATGGACATCTCAGGCGAAAAGGTAAGGCAAGAGGCTACAGATTCCAACGAGAAGGTTGATAGCAGCTATGTACTGGCGAGGCAGACTGATCATCGGATCTTAACCGCTTTCAACAAACTCACATCCTTCACAATCTATGGGCCGAATCATCCGAAGAAGGCGAAGAGGCTGTCTGGATGGGCAGGCGTCCGAGCACGGGTAAAGGCATTGATGAGTTCCCACGCTTCACACATGTTTTGGGCAATGGTGATTATGACGAACTCTGTGTACTTGGGAGTGCATCTCGATTGGAGCGTCGATCATCGAGGCTCTTCCGGGAATCCCACCTTCTTCGCCCTTCATTTGGTGTACGCGCTCCTCTTCACTCTCGAAGTTGGCTTGCGAATCATAGCCTGGGGATGCAGAGCTCTGCTATGGGGCCAGGACTGGGTGGGCACTTCAGAAACGATGGCATCAACTCCTAAAAATCACGACTGCGTCACGCAGTCGGGTTTCCTAATGCCGCAGGCTCGGGATGTAGAGCATGTGAGCATGCGGTGTTGCTGCGACATCACGTCACCTGCTGACCATCGTGTCTGTCTTGCTGGCTGTGGAAAGTGCTTATGTCGTATGTATCCACTGCATATGCCGAGAAGCTATCGCCTCAAAGTTAACCACTCAATGTAGTTCCAGTGCGGCATGTGCACGAGTCTCGAAATATCCCTTTCGAATTTAATTATGTCTGCATGTACTACATGTGTCCCTATTGCAGTTTGAGAGAGTCGAGTTGATGCATGTTCTTTTTAGATCGCTCTTTATCCAGGGAGAGCGCGGGAGCACAGGGTGACAAGTCCATGCGAGCGCAGCTGAAGGTAAGCACCCTGCAGAGAGGACTGGCACTGGAATTGGTTAGACCTGTTCGTCGTGATCTCATCATGGGTGGAGTTTGCCCTCGACTTGGCAAACTCAGCTGAGGATCAGGTGAGCAGGGGCAACAGCAACTTCCGATTGATGAGGCTGTTGCGACTTGGTCGGCTCGTTCGTGTTGTGCGCATTGTCCGCGTGGTACGCCTCTTCCGAGCTTTGAGAACGTTAGTGGCATCATTGGCGGGAACCCTGAAATCACTGTTTTGGTCTTTCTTGCTGCTGGGCTTGATCATCTACATTTTTGCGATCCTCTTCACAGACATTGTTCTGGATCACTTGATAGAGTACGACGTCGCCCGGTCCAGAGATGACCCGATGCAGGTGCCTCGATTCGCAATTCAGTGTGGGGTTGTCCTTCTACAACACATTAATTGATGGGGTGCCCCACTGGGTTTGCATTTTGGAACAGGCCGCTGGGTGGGTGATGTGTCGGGTTGGTCCCCATCCCAGCCCCGTGCACCCTAACAAGACCCAGGTTGTGGGCTTGCACAGCTTGTGGCACATGCTTGGCCCGAATAGAACAGGATCACCGCGCAGTGTGCGCATTTTGGGTTATGGCGTTAGAAAAAGTGATTCGATTATCAACGCGGCACAGCTTTCACAATCAATGTTCCGTCCGTGTAGTGCAGTTTTCTGTGCAGGATGTGCAGGGCCATGTGTTGCGAATGTGGACAGGCAACTCTGCGTGAGGACACGGCGCGCGCTTGCAGTTTCCATTTGTTTGTAAACGCAGCGTCCACTTGCACTTTCAATAAACTTTTGCTTTACTTTGCGGGACGAGTCTGGTTCCACGTGCAGTTTTGCCCCAGTCGGGCTGTGCTCCGTGACATCCAGGGGTCGACTTCACACGAGTCTAGGTGTGGGGAACTGCGGAGACCAGACGTCCCCGCATTCACCCAGTGCTTCGTATTAGTTCGTGAATCTGGTATGTGTATTTTGTCTGCACTACATGCTGTGTCATCGCAATCCACAGATGACAATCCCTGTGCGAGTTCTACTTCGGGAACCTCTACAGCTCCTCAACGACATTGTATCGCTCGATCTCGAACGGGCTTACTTGGCATCTTGCGGCCGATTCCTTGGGCCCTGCAGGCCACTGGCCTTTCAGAATGGGTCTTATACCGTAGGGTACATATGTACATACATGCTTGCATACATACATAGTTCTGTTTCATTCATACGTATCTTTGTATTAATATCTACCCCACATATCTTTGCAAATATATGTCTCTAGGTTTTGTTTGAATCTTTATCTACATCCCTATGTCTTTATCTGTCTCTTGTACCTGAATCCATGTCTATACCTGCTTATATCAATATCCACATCTGTATCTATGCCTATATCTATACATGTGTTTCTGTCTTCATTTGTATCTACAGCTGTATCTATACATGTACGTACGTGCACATATACATAAATGGGTATGCTAATGTGCATAAACACGCACATTACGTGTTTGTATGCGCAGGCATCTGACAAAATGCACATAGTCTGACAATGTCTAACGTGGTTGCAAGAGGCAGTTCTGATGCAAAGAATTGCTGTAAGGGCGTTCCGCAGTGTCAGCACAAAAAAGGCTCAGCGGTGCAGAGGGATGTGAAGCATCGGGCCGCTGGGTCAGCTCCTTCCCAACCTTTGTGACTTGTCTGAGGCGAGTTCTGGGTGCAAGCCTACAACTTCTTTGTGGCCTTTTCCGCCTTCTGCGTTTTGAATGCATCCCGGCTTCGTTGTGACAAAGTGCTTCGTTGGAACAGCAGGGTCTTGTTAATGTTTCGCATAACAGGCTACTCCAGCAGGCGGTCTTGTCCTAAATGCGTGTTCGGATTGGGCGCAATGCACTGTTTCCCTGGTTGGGCTGCTAGTTACTAGTGTTCTTCATCCTAGATGTGCGTTGAATTGCTGAGGGTTCCCCTGCATGTTGCATGTTCGTCGACGCTTGCATTCGGAGACGTTTGTGGCAATCTGATAATCACCGCCACGGTTTGCAAGTTGAACTCTTCGCCACTTACCCTTTTCCTCTTTTCTCTCTAGCTTCTCACCGGCTGCCTGAGCCCATCGCCCTCCACATGCGGCAGCACAAAGTCACAAAGTGGGACATTGCGCTTCTATGCCATGGAAATCGTGGTGCCATGATGCCACCAGGAAGAGGCACGCCAAGGCACGAGAGATAGCTTCAGCAACGCTAGAAGCAGCAGTGCCTCAACCACCAGCAGAGGCATCATTGCAATAGCAACAGCGATTCCAGCATTGGGGTTACTTCTGATGCTCTGCTTGTTCGTGTGATTTTTCATCGCTTCGCTTCCGACAGTGCTTGATGCTGTTGAATGTGGGAAAGCTGGTGTGACAAGCTTATTCTGAGTCTCATGCTCAAGGTCGTTTGTCCTTCCGCAGGGTCTTGGTGTCCCACCCCAAATAAAGCTTGCAAAGGGTGCGTTCGTCGAGGCAGGGTCCTCCAGAGCGAATCTGAAAGGTGCACTATGCCAGTATGTGCCAGTCCAACAGAACTCCCCTCTGTTAGGGGTCGTCCCTATACTCCTCCGAGTATGTGTGCAGCAATTCTAGGACTGAGAGTATGTGTACGGCGGTTCTATGGATGATGATTTCGAGGTCATGACTGGTGTGTTCTGCAACAGTGCTATCAAAGCCGCAGAGAACGACCACGAGCTGGCAGTGCAGGCGTCGGTGCAGATGCGGAAGGAGCTGAAGGACCAGGTTGTGCAGCTCTTCGGTACCATCGATGAGCGGGGTTTGGGCCAGCTGACGATCTCTGAGTTTGAGCGGCACTTTGACAATGATGCTGTCAAGGTGCTTGGCTTGAGGTTCCATAGTGCCAGTGTTGTTCAGCACTAGCAAAGCTGAGTTCGTTATACTTTTGTAAGGTGGGCCCCTTTCAATGTTGGATGATGTCATGTGCCAAATCTGAGCTCAACTTACCACATCCTTATCATGAAGCTAGTGGGCCTCATGTGCAGCGATGTGGAAGGCATTTTTCGAGGTCCTCAAAATCGGAGCCGTGGATGCTTGGACCTTATTCACGAGCTTGGACAAGGCGCGTCAAGTCAGCTGCTGGTTCAGACGAGCTTGTTTCCACCTCTTGAAAGTAGCCTGCGGAATGTCGCTTGGCCTTTGCACATGGGATGCAGGATGGGGATCACACCGTGAATGTGGATGAGTTCGTTGAGCGCTGCCTTTCGGATGCATAGCCTACAATAGCTGAGAGCTGTGACATTTCCGGGCATCAAAGTGTCAATCCCATGCTTGCATGTTGTTCTTGATGTACTGTGGGGACCAGCATGCAATTTTCTGTGTCGTGTTGTGTCCAGCATGCACGTCACGACTCTATGCCATCCCTGCCTGCATTGAACACCCAGAAGAACAGGCGGCTCCCACCAAAGTGCTGCATTTTGGCCCCGGACTTCATTTCCACCGTTTGAGAACATGTACCACTGAACTACATGCCCAACGCCTGAATTCAGCAAGCAAGTTTGCAAACCCGTTGCCAGCCCAAGCCGACCAATACCCAGCACAAGGCTGTTTGGGCGAGGAAGTATGCGTGTACCACATGATATGCCTGCATGGATGCATGTATGTATATGTATATGTATATGTATATGTATATGTATATGTATATGTATATGTATATGTATATGTATATGTATATATATATACACTTATACTTATACTTATACTTATACTTATATAAATAAATAAATATATATGTATGTATGTATGTACGTATGTGTGTATACATATATATAAATATATATGTATATATATACACACATTACTTTGCACAGATGTAGTTAGCATGTTCGAGCCATGTGTGTGTGTGTGAGTATGTATGTATGTATGTATGTATGTATGTATGTATGTAGGTAGGTAGGTAGGTAGGTAGGTATATGCATACAGTGACCTGTGTGTAAGCGTGGTGTTGTAACAGGCAAACACGTGCATGTATCG